TTAAGCAAGAAGGGCATACATTTTAGTTAATATTTGTATAATTTCAATATTTATATATATTTACTTGTTGCTGAAATATAATTTCAAATCACTAGATGTACCAAAAAAATTCAATATATACAAATATAAATCACATCAAAAGAAAATTTTAATCCCTATATTAATAAATTCAAAATTTATATTTGATTTTGTATCAATTACACAAATTATACAAATATAAATTATTAGATATATCAATTATACATACCATCCTACCTTCAGGAATACAAATATAACTCAATGCAAATACAATTCAATCAGATTTTCGTATTATGTAGAAACACAAAAAATAAAAACAAAAAAAAATTCAAACGATACATAAACAAATCTATTCGATCTTAATATAATTTTGAAACACAAAATACAAAACAAAAAAATCAATAAATATAAATACAATTCAATTTGTTCTTCGCGTAATTTCGGAACAAAAAAATACCAATAGAAAATCAATTGATATAAATACAATGGGTAATTCGTGAGATTTTTCCGTGATTCGAGAAATTTTTTCCGTAATTTATGGGATTTTTTTTCAATTTTTTTGTGTATTTATTATTAATTAAATTGAGAGTCCTATTTATATAAATATTTAATAGAACTATGCAAGATATAACCTGAATAGCTACTCAAACTATAACTACTCTATGCAATTAGCCAAACATTAGCTATTAGCCGAAAAGCCCAATCTTACCATAGAGCAGAGCCCAATTACTAAAAGCCCAATCTGAACGAAATGAAATGAAGCATCACATAATCGGCAAATCCAGCAGAGATCGGAAACTTTCTCGTCTCCTCTCCCTTTCATTGATGACACCACTACTAACTCCATCTACCAAAATCTTCTTTCCATTTTGCTGAAAACTATATAAGCAATATACGTCACCGTTACCCCCACACACTTCGCTCATGCGTGCTTACCACGCCCCTTTTAGCATTCACAATGATGATGGGACCCACTGCTCATGCGCGACACGTATCCATCCGCGCGTGGAGAATCCCTTGTTGGATGCGCTTTGCCCTAGTCGTCTGCGAACACATCCTTCTCTCTCTATATCCACCATGAACCACCACCGTACTCCGATCACCTTCTTCGATCTTCTTTCAAATTCTTCAAGTCGGCCGATTTGCTGCTCCTCTTGCCGATCTACTAGTTTCGCAACTTTTCTTTCTGAGGTAAGAATACTTGTTGAAGCTATTCTCATCGTATTCAGTCGTTGCCTTCGCTTTTGTTTGATGTGTAGAAACTTGATACTTTTTTCTAAGAATTTGTGAATTTGATTTTGAAGGATTAAAATGGAACCGATGGATATCGTTGGTAAGACGAAGGAGGATGCTTCGCTTCCCAAAGGTTTTCCTCCTTTCCTCCATGTTCTGTTTGATTATCTTTGAAACCTAATCATCGAGATTTTGAGCGGATGAATAGGGAGTAAGCAGAGGGGGATATTAGTTGTTTTTGGAGGGGTGATTCAGGGTAATTAAAAGCAATTAAATTTTTACAAGGCTGGGATATACTAGAAATTCATACAGGGATTCATGAAATACTAAGTGTGATGATACCTAAGATTGGAACTTGTGACCTAAAGCAGTTTTTGAACCCCTTTTACTGCTACCCTAGAAACTTCTCTTATGTCAAAGGAATTCAACCGTTTATATATAACCAATGAAATCTTTTTTGCCATATTTCACCATTCAATTTTCTTGCAAAAAAGGGTTCAATAAAACCTTTTGTCTCCCCTTAGCTCTCTCCCTGTTGAGTGGAATTTCTGATTTATTTTCTGAAGAGGGTAAAACTTAACTTGTCTGTGACTTAAGTGATACTAATTGCTTTTGCAAAGAATTCGATAATTAGAGTGATGCGATTGGTGATTTCAACTGCAAAAGCCAAATAGTGGTAATATTGAAGTTCTTTTTTGTTGCTTCTGGTTTCACCTTGTCTGAATTATTTTGTTTTCCTCATGAGTTTGCTATTTGGGATAGATGAGTGAGTTTGCCTGATGGTTTACTTACTTTTTTCCTTGATTCGAAATTCTAAATATACTGATAATACAATTTTCTCTTATCAGCAACTATGACAAAGATTATTAAAGAAATGTTGCCCCCTGATGTTCGTGTTGCCCGAGATACGCAGGATCTTTTAATTGAATGTTGTGTAGGTGAGTTGATTTTAGTTTGCCTGATCTAATTTTTTTTATTTTCTTTAAAATTCTGTTGATGTGTTGTGCTGTTACCAGTAGGGCTTCTAATAGCAACTATGCTTCTCTAGAATTTAAGGGGGACTAAGTGTTGGCCTGTGCTGTTGGGAGTAGTACTTACATAGGAGGACTATGGTTTAATATGAAAGTTTTGTGCTAGTTGTTTGTTAGCTCTTGGTTTCACTCTGTCGACACAAGACAGGGAATGTGATAAGCATCGGAAGGTTTAGAACATAGTTGGATAATACAGGTCACTTTGAAGGCATTCAAGTTCTTTTTTGAGTTATATTCTATAGGAAGATGACTCCTGGTAACTTAAAAAGTGAGACTTTTGATGAAACTTGATCATTGTTCTGTTAAACTAACTTATTCCTTAGATCCTTATTTTTTTCCTGATAAGGTAACCTATTTCATAATTGTTTTGTTAAACTAAGCATAACGATTTGTTACATGACACTACTTTTATTACTTATTTCTGCTGATATTTTTTCAATAAGTACATTTTCACTGATGTTTTGGCTGGTGATTTGTGTTTGCTATTTCAACAGGATTGAAGTCTATCCTATGTTCTTTCCTTCTATTAGATAAATATAACTTCATCTCTTTACATTCCTTAAAATTAAATCATAGCTTGATTTCATATTTGAAGGATCTTCTTATGGTGGTTCTGATTTTAATTTGCATGGTATTCCACCTTTCTTTGTTCTTGTGCAGAGTTCATCAATCTTATCTCATCAGAATCAAATGAAGTTTGTAATAGAGAAGATAAACGAACAATTGCACCAGAACATGTACTCAAGGCCTTAGAGGTACTTCTTGATCCTGGAGTTGCTCTATTATGTTCATCATCATCATCTTGCTCTTTTTGCAATTCTCTTCTGTTCTCAGCTGCAGTCACCATAAGCATGAGTTCATTTGAAGGTGATTTAAAGAATTTCAAACCTAGTTCTCATCTGAGGTCACAAAGTGGCATGGTACCAATAAGAATGATGTAATGCAAACCTTGTTAATTAGTTTCATGTTTGGTTTGGTATGGTAGTGATGTTAGGCAACATCAAGATCACACTCATGCTTTAAGTCTCTAGCAAAAACTTTTCACCATGAAACCATGGACCAGTTTTAGTTTTCATTTCTTAAATACTTCTATAATTGTTACTGTTGCATCATTATCGTAACAAAAATAAAAATAAAAATGATAGTGTTAAATAACAAGAGAACTTAATTAAATAGTTACTTTAGGTCAGATTTAATATGTTAGCCCGTGAAAATTTGTTCTATATCCTACCCACATCCTGGGAATGATAAACACTTTTGGCTTTCAGGTTCTTGGCTTTGGGGAATATACTGAAGAAGTTTATGCTGCATATGAACAACACAAGTTGGAGACTGTGGTACGTAGGAGAGCTAGTTTCTGTCTTCTTACATTGTTGGAAATTGGAATCTATGAATGGCCTAAAAGTTAGGATGTATGAAGGATCCTTTTGCTGTTGTAACAAAGTCATTTATTCCTTTTCTTTTCTCACCCTTGGTCCAAAACCTCTCTGCATGTGGCTAGAGCTAGGCGACATTTATTTTGAATTCAAATAAGTTTTGCGACCATGTGAAACGATTTAATGGTGAAAAAATCTTCATTCACGATTGTCCTTTTGCTTTGTGTTTCTCCCATAGGACACTGTGAGAGCTGGGAAGTGGAGCAATAATGTAGCTGAAATGACTGAAGAAGAAGCATTAGCTGCACAACAAAGGATGTTTGCTGAAGCACGTGCGAGGATGAATGGAGTTGTTACAGTTCCGCCCAAACAGCAAGACCCGGAAACAGAGCAAAAATTGGACTGCTAACTTAGGGCGTAGTTTTTTTCTGTAGGCAAGCACCTCTTTAGTTTTTACAGTTGGTTTCTCTTTTATTATGTACAAAAAGCTCCCCTGGCACTTTTGCCTGCTTGTGAACTTGAGTTCAATTTGTACTCTTTTAATTATGTCTATATTTTCTGTAATTAATGAATTTTCTTCAGAATAGTCTCTACGGCCTACAAGTGCTTTCAGTATATTTTTTTTATTTGTCAAGAGTGGGAATTGCTGGGGCTCTTTATCATCAGTTGGCCCTTTCACACTAATTGGCCGACTCAGCCCCCACCCAGGACCAATGTGATTGATTGCGTTGGGGTTTGCATCTTTATTACTTTTACCTAATAAAAAAAATAGTCACAGCACTGAAACCCATTAGGTGACGAATGATGAATGTGATGGTCGCTATACACTTATTTGGTCATTGTTGTAATGGCTTTACAACTCAACTTAGTGGTCATGGCAATAACCTAGGGTCCTCCTTGTAAGTTGCCTAAATTGGTGTTTCCTGTGTACTTTGGATCCACCATTATCCCTTACTGACTTTGTTTCTACTAGGATTTGACTCATGATTTCCTATAGTGATTCACTCACTTCTTTGACTGCTAAGTCGTGCCTTTGGTGCTCCGCCTTACTCGGTTTTGGTGCAAATCTTTTACCCTTCCAAAGAAGGGAAACTAAGAATTCAAACATTGATGAAAAAGCCTTCGCTATTTAGGCCCACCATATGGTTGGCATTTTTCTCTTTTCCTGCAAAAAAGAATGAAAGAGGAATAAGAGAATTAAATCCCTTATTAGAGTGTCAGTTTTGATGCACTGTATATCGCAGGTTATTGTGTCTTGAGTAGTAACATAATATTTCATCTATTTTTCAACGTTTCAGAATGTGTGTGATTACATATCTGAGGCAAACATCATTAGTGGTGTGCAGGTTTTATCATACATGAAGCAGAAGGTTGTGTTGGGAGGATGTCTAGTGTAAATAGTGATGCTTCTTTAGTTCTCTCTTTCACTGTGATTTTTGTGACCACACTGTTTTTGTTCAGGTCAAAAAAGAGCCAGTCAAGCTATTTTTTTCTCACCATACCCCACAAGAAAGTGAAATAACACATCTTATGTCTCCCTGAGATTCCTTTCTTTATTTCAAAACATTTACCTTTCTCTCCTCACATCCTCTCAAGCCTTCACCTTTCCCTGTGCTGTGTTATACTACTCCCAATTCCCATGACACAATTGGTGGGGACACTTGTGTTTTTCTTTATCAGATTCTTATTTGTTTGAACAAAGTAGTAGAAGAAGCAAAACAAATAAAAAAATAAGATAAAGAGAGAAAAAGAAAATCCCTTGAATAAAGAAGTAGTAGTAACAAAAATCTCTTTGCCCCTCACTCTTCCATTACTTTAAAGGTGCATCTCCTACTCTTTTCTTAGATGAAGACAATCATGGCAAAGAGTTTCCAAGACTTGTCCTCTAAGAGGCAGTTCCACTGGACAGCTAAAGTCAGCAATGAAGAAGAAGTAACATCAAAAGATTCATCTCCAAACAGAAATGAAGAAGGGAAAACAGAGAATATAAAGGTACATTCTTTCAAGAATCCTGAAGTTTCAAACACCAAGTCATCAACTTTAAACACCATCCATGAAAACAAGGCTGAGGACAAACAAGAATCTTCTTCAGCAACTAGGAGGAAGCTGCAGACAATAGCAGTAGCCAGACTAAAATCTGTCCTAACAGCTTTCGGGCGAAACAGGTCTAACTTCCAACAAGGCCTTGGAACCAGAGTTGTAGGCACTCTTTTTGGGCACAGGCGTGGACATGTACATTTTGCATTTCAAAAAGATTCCACCTCCCAGCCAGCCTTCTTAGTTGAACTAGCCACACCTATAAGTGGTCTAGTCAGAGAAATGGCGTCTGGATTGGTCCGAATCGCGTTGGAATGCGATAAGGAGGAAGAGAAAAAAGTGTCTAGACTCATTGATGAGCCTGTGTGGAGGACTTACTGCAATGGTAAAAAATGTGGGTTTGCAACAAGAAGAGAAATTGGGGCAAAAGAAGTGCAGATTCTAAAAGCAGTGGAGCCAATATCAATGGGTGCTGGTGTTTTGCCAGGGAATGGTGAAGAAGAAAGTGCTGATTCTGGTGAGATTATGTATATGAGGGCTAAATTTGAGAGAGTTATTGGATCTAGAGATTCAGAGGCATTCTACATGATGAATCCTGATAGTAATGGAGCTCCTGAACTTAGCATTTATTTGCTAAGAGTTTAAGGTTTATCACTTATTAGAATATTAGATTAAGTCCTTTTCTTTCCTCTTCTATCTTGAAGAGTTTAACTGAATATATTGAGATCTAGCAATGTTGTATGTTTTTATTTTCTTTGTTATTTTGGATAACAATGGGTTACTGTAATCTTTTTTTCTCTTTCTTGGGTGGAATGGAAAATATATGTTACCTATAAATGATTGAATTAGTGCATGATCAGATAAGACAAATATTTATTCTTTTTGTCTTCTAATTCTCTGTTGATACCATGGCATTTTGTGATGAAATTCTTGAATCTCTTAGCACTAACACCCCTTTACTAATTGTGATGACAAAAGGGGTTTGTTATTCCTTTTGCTTCTTTTCTTGACTGCTTTTTTCTCTCTCAAATCTTTAGAGATTTGCTAGGTTCCTTTTTCTGGCAAGTAACTAGATACAATACTAGATAAATTCTGATCCAAAGGGTATAAAAATTGCATGTTCCAATCATTGGTTTTGGTGTCTAGACTTGATCAAAGTAACATGAGAATCCCAAGAAGTTAAACTATTACTACTACTACTAATAAAGCTCAATCATAGAAGTTCTCAAAAGCAAAAATCAACTCAAATGACTGACATGTTACTCAGCTTTCCCTTTACACCATTAGAAGTTTCAAAATTACCAGATTTTTCCATCTTTTATTTGACAGACATATCCATTATCAAGGATGTGTTTAAAAGCTAGATAGAGAAGGTTAAAAAGGACAACATGATACACTAAACTCTCGCTACGCAAGGAATCAACGGAAGGGCTTGAATTTGTGACCTCTTGATCATACAATGACAACTTTAATCGCTGCGTCAAGATTCATTCGATTGAGAAGGTTAAAAATGGCAACATGATACACCAAACTCCCACTACTCCATGAATCTAGGGAAAGGCCCGAATTACATTGGATGTACGTACACGTAATTACTTTGCATTTCTTCAAGAAACTGTTTTCACAGTTTGAATCCATGACCTCTCGATCATATGACCACAACTTCTATTGTTGTCCCAAAATTTTATTTAGGTAAATATGTCCATTTGCTTGCCTCAATAATGTTCTGACCCCTTATTAATGACTAATAAATGAAATAATAAAGGGGTAGGTAAACTATGATGCTATTAGAACAAAAGCTGTATATATTCATTCATTCAAACAAAAGTTTTGTTTACCGTAAGTAATGATTCTTCTCCTATTTTCAAGGCTTTATATTCATTTGTTTTATTTGCAATATCCTTTATACAAAGTGAAAAAGATAAGGAGGACATCTTAGTGGATGTGTGATGGAGTACAACAATCAAATAAATGAAAATATCAAAATTAATAAGATTACATTTTCACAGTAGCCGAGGTTTTCTTTTGATCATGTTGTTATCATTATTCAAAGTTTCAATAGTTGTTTATTGCATTATTGGCAAATCCACTATTTAAAGTTTATAGATATTTAGACGATTTCAAGTTAATAAATAATAATAATTGAGTTCACAGACACATATTTAATAGATTTCTTAATAAAGATACAAGATCAATGCAATAACTATTAATTCCCAAAAATCCATATATTATGATTTGAATCCGCGGCTACTTAATCAAATCAATTTTTTAAGCTCAAAAAATGCTGAGGAATTGTTTTTGTCTTTAGTATGTCCCATCTAATCATGTATAATCATTTGCAAATTCAATTGCAATTTGCTAGATAATGAATTAAGTAGGAAAAATATTAGTTACAAAAATGAAAATCTCAAGGATTTTAGAGGTCCTAGCAAGATATGACAGTTTAAAGTACGTAGGGTATAAACATTATTTTGGGGTATGTTATGATTATTTCACTCTGTTACTAATGCTTCAATCATTAGGAAAGTAGAGTGCATTTATTTTAATTATTGCTTGCTAAATATACCAATATTTAATTTGTTAACATTTTCTTGTTTTTTTGTCTATCACGCAAAAATAATTTTCCTTAGCTAGTTTCACATCTTCATGAGGCCTCGTCTTGCAGGACCGTTGTTAAAAGAGCATTCAGACATTTAGGTAAAAAAATAAAAAAAGAATGAAGATAACGTTCGATCGTGGGATATTATAATTCAAATCTCATCATAAATTTTAAAAAAAATAATGCTTAATTGGTACCTAATTTCATCTCATAATGTTTAAATTTTAGTGACAGAGTTATCTTATACCTTTTGTTGACACAAGGTAATAAGTAACGAAACAACATTCGTAATGAAGTCAAGGTCATCTCATATATGGGAGTTGCCTAATATCTTTGTTGATGCGGGGTAATAAGTACAGATGAAATAATCAAAATACGCCCGAGTTGATCCAAATACAACACTATTTTTCTCTAAAAAGAAAAGAATAAACAGGAAACAACATTCATAGTGATGTCAATTTCAATGGGTTAACCAACTTCTGATTAGGCTTACACTTGGTAGCCTATATTTAGCTGGATAATTTTCTAGCGTTTGATTCATTCAAGTCTTATCGTTTCCAGCTAATTTTCTAACGTTCATTTAAATCTTATCGTTTCGTCTTCGATGCTGTGTTTAAATATACTTTTGAACTATTCAAATTGAGACAATTTACCATATATTACCTCCCAAATCGTTCAAATATGCCCTCTAATGAGCAAAATAACTCAAAAATTAGTAGACTATTGTGGAGAGACTAAGCTCTATTTCAGCGATTGGACTCTCTTACTGCGATTAGCTCCTACTAGTAAGAAGTTGTTCCTGACCCAGGTATACCCTTACTTTACTAATTAGTGCTCCAAAACAAGGAAAAATGAGTCATAGACAAAAAAATAAATAAATAAAAATGGAGCTTAAGTTACCTTATTCTTCTTTCATGTCCAAACAGAACTTCTCCATATTTCTTTGACTGCTTAAACTCTGAGAAAGTATGTAGAACAGATATGTAGTTGCTTTGAAAGAATACCAGGATTTTTTATCAGTTAAATCCTGGTGTGAAGCTCTTTTTTCTTACTTTTTGCCTATTTAAACTTTCTTGACTAGTGCTGTTCCAATTTTGTTTCCCCTCTAAGAAAATTCATCATTCAACAACATGTGTCCAAAAGCACACTAATATACAGAAACTTGAAGCAAATGTGCTTCAAAATTTTCATAACAGAAAAAACAATGAAATAATATTAATAACATGACTTCAATAAGCCCAAGTAATCTGGAAGAAAAAAGACAAAGAGAAGTCATAAACAACTAGAGATTTAATCACTGTTAGACAGTTAGTCTGTTGTCTAATACTAGTGAATGAGTGCTCCTCCATTGCCTTGCTCCGGTGTGACAAATGATAAGCTTGATTGTGAACCGCCGCTAGCTAGACTGGAATCGCCAAGTGATCTGCTTTCCTTAGTGCTTTACATTCTGGCGAGCAAATCCTGGCTGAGTGGTGCAATTGAATACATGCGGCCCAAACATGAACACAAACCAGAAACATGGATATGCAAGCTGCATCAGTTTGCAGAAGAAAGAAACTCAAAGGTACACTTTTAAAGCATGATTATGAAAGTTGGTTGTTGTGCCAGTGAAAAATGTAGATAAACTTCTTGTGCCAGAGAGACTAATGTTTTTATACTATTGCACTGAGACGGACTTAAATGGAGTGACATGGACGGTGAGGATTCATATAGTCAACTTCACTTGATTGGGATTGAGGAGTAGTTGTATCTGTTTTTGATGTTGTATGATGCTATGGATTTTCAAGAAACATCTAATCTTTTTCTAGTAAGCTAAAATTTAAAATCTATTATTAGGACCATTGTTCACTTACAAAAGTTCATATCTAACACATGAGTAAAGAATTGATGAACTATTCAGCCAGGTGAAGTGAATGTAGAAGAAGATATGAAAATATACTTGAAGAAGCATGCATGGATAGCCAAAAACTTGACAAAATAAATGCCATGTGAAATGAAAGTAGAAAATATCGAATGTACCTGGAGAAGCATGGATGGAGCTGCTACTGTTTCAGTATTAACATGGCTTCTGGTCTTTCTACCATTTAAAGTGACAACTGATGGACTGTTAGCTGTTGTTATATCCCAGAAGCTGCGTTTTTTTGCCGTGGGAGCTGGAGAATGAAACCGATGACTTGGACTCTTCAAATGAACATCATGTGGTTCCCTTGGCCGCAAGCTTGCCCTTGTAACAATCCTTTTTACACCACCCACTTGTGTCCCTCCTGCTGGTTTTGCACTCTTTCGTGACAACTCACGGATCGTATCATCTTTCTGCTTTATCTGCAATACATGATCCTTTTTCAGTCTCTCAATTTCTGCCTCCAATCCCTTAACCACCTTTTTTAGATCTCTAACTGGGTCATCTGCACCTTTTCTCTTTGATTCGGGGGTAAAACAATTTCCAGCCAAGAAAGAGGGTCTTGCTTTCCGTTTTTCATTTGGCTGAGCAGAAGAAGGTGCTGGTGATAAGATAGAGGAAACTATTGATGGGGCAGGAGAAGAGTTTGCAGCCAAATTTTCCTTCTGGATAGTAATCAGCTTTTGCTGCTGATGAGCCAAACGCATTCTCAATTCGCGGTTCTCTTTTTGCAGCTCAAGCAATAACTTGGCCTGATCTGTTTCAGAATCAGGCATTTGCATTTCCTCATGTGCATCATAAGCCTGCACTTGGTAAAAGGAGATATTAGGATGATAATGCATCCTTAAAATACTGAAAATAATAGATGCTTCACAGCTAATGTATTTGTCAACTGCATCTGCATGTCATTACGGACTGCTCTGGCATTAGATGAAAAACATTGAGTTGGAATTAACTTTTAGAAGCATTACTATTCATTCTTTTTTCAAACTCATGATACTTCAATGGAGATAAGTAGCATTACACACACTGCAATGAATGTACACCTCCTTTTAAGGCACTGTTTACATAGTATGATAGCAAGATGCAGAAAGATAGTATGACTGAAGAGGGCTAGAGATTTTAGTATCTAAAAGTAACTTCTAAAATGACACATTCATTTGAAGCAGTACACGTAGAGAATAATAAATCAATCAACCACACCTTAATTCCAAACTAGACATTGCATCGCCAAGGCAAAAAATCATGATGACCAATAAAAGTATTTTACTTATGATGACAACCAGACCTCAAAAAACAATGCCGCGTAGTAGTAGTTATCAGTTATCTAACCTTTGT